TGGCTCTCATGGATGATGGCTTTAAATTGTTCTCGTTGTGCTTCTGGCAAGTGGTCAATAAAGGTGCTGAGTTTCCCATAATTCATGTGGTCAGACTTTGCCATTCAGGCTTGGTAGTCTGAAATCCTGAATTGCAGAGATGCCGAGGAGTATGCCTTCCTTCCAAATAAGTCTAGCCTTTTCCAGTTTCTATCATACGGGGTTTATTTAGCATGTTGTTGCTTTCCTCGCAAATTATCGGCATCTACAATAGAGTTAGGCTGAGGGTATATAAAAAAGAAAGTCTGCCTCTTCAGGGGGCACATAATACTCCTTGTCTGCCCTTTTACATGTCAGCACAATAGAGGCTAGTGTCTGCCAGATAATCTTGGCAGGATCTAAAAGCATCTCGTTGACTGGAAGGGCAATGCAATATGTCCAGCAATTTGTGGTGAGTGTCCTACACCTTTTTGAGAGATATTTGTAATGTGTCAGCAACCCTCTAACCGATCCTGAAAAAACTTGATATTATTGGCCAGTAATGGTGGAGAGGACATCACCACCTCAGCTAGTGAGGAGGAGATATTTGTCGGTGGTGTAGTCTCCTCTTGTAGTCCGGCCTCCTGCTACTGAAAAGTTTCCTCCTGAGGTGCTGGAGTTCTAGATACAGAGACTGTAGGAGACTGTCTAGTAGACTCTCTGTAGGAGACATTAGATGCCTGAGAAGTATGGTGCCTGTATGCTGCCCACGGGTCCCAGTACGGCCATTAGGGTGGAGGACAAGGCATGAGTAGTGGCACCCACATGTGGCCATACCAGGAGGGCTGGGGACCGGAGTGTGAGTGGGAGGGTCCTGGTTGTTGTAATGATGGGGCATGGTGTGAGGCCAGAGACATTGTCATTTTGGTCACTGTCTGCCTCCTCATTGGAATAGGGTGGAACTTACAGAAAAGCTAGAGGCGAAAGCCCCAAAGCCATTAGTCATTTTGGGGGAGCAGGACATGTTCAGTACCAGAGCCCCGGTACTGAGTAGTAGGAACTCTGGAATTGCCACGATCATGATGTCCCTAGAAAAGTGAAATTCCTGCGATACCGTCGTTGCAAACTACCATCAGATGTTGCCGGTGCTGAATCGTTGGTACCGACGATCTTTTATGAGGCACGCAGTCCGATGCGGATTGTTTCGAGGCGGTTGGTGCCAAGGATTTCTTCATTAGTGCCGATTTTGCAGAGGTGGCAGGGTCTCTGCTGTTATCTTTGGCAGATGGTGCTGCCACTTCAGAGCCTGTCCCCTTCAAGTTTTAAGGCATTATGGCAGAACTTGTACCCAAGGATCCTGTGTCTTCTGGGTATCGTGTTTTGGAGCCGCTGGTGCCAAGGTGACCGATGGCACTGTGGATCTCCACTGGCTGGTCAGGAGCTCAGCTTGAGGGCTTGCAGCCCTCTTTTTGGAGGTTCTGAAAGGGGAGTCAGACAATTTTCTCTGTGGTTCTTCCTCCCTAGAATTTGAAGGCTCTGGGGATGATCTTCGCCGTGGAGGGATTTGGCTCAGGGGTCGGATGCGAGTTTAAGAGCACCCTCCATGAGGAAGCGTTTCAACTTTAACTCCCAGTTCTTTTGGGATCTAGCCTTCAATTGCTGGCAGAAGGTGCACTTCTGCAGAATATGAGCCTTTCCAAGGCACCGGACACAGCAGAAGTGTCTGTCCGTAACCAGTATTGCCTCCTCACAGGAGAGGCCACATTTAAAACTGGTGGAGCTGGGCATTCCCCTTGCAGGGGGCAATGCCCAAATGGGGGGGTGAGGGTGTGTGTGTGTGGGGGAGAGAGAGACAGGGACAGGAAGAAAAAAACCTTTTTTGTTGTGTTTTGGAAAAAGTGAAAATGGAAGCTCTAGAAATGCTACAAAAACAAACTCTATAAGAAGCAATAAAACTAAACCCTATCAACTATAATGGAACACGAGGTAAGTAAACCAGATTGCTACTCACTATCTCAGGCCAAGAGCGGCTGAGAAGGAACTGAGGGCGGTTTGCCCCACGCAGCGCTAGATAGCCTCAAGGAAGAGCAAGCAGAAGGGAGAGCAGGTACGTGGGCCAAATGGACACTGCTACCTAAAATCTCCAATCAGAGGTGCAGGGGTGCAGACACACCTATAGTGAAGCATCCATAGGGACACTACTCGAAGAAGAAAATACTTCTTACCTACCTGACGTAAGTGTTGAGGGTTAACGTTTGTAATGCTGCTTAGATATTTGGATGAAAGCAATGCAACAAAAACAAAAAGAATTTTCAGGCCCATAATCCAAAACAATTTAGCACCAGCCAATCCTGAAACCTTTGTAGCTATTGATATGATCTCTACAAGTATTTAAAAAGAGGTTCATACCTATGCAGATAGAACAGTCTGGAATGGCTATTATTAGGGTCTCTTACTAGAAGAGAAATTTAGGCTGAATTTCAGAAATGCTAAAATAGTGAGATATTAGCTTACGATGTGGTTTTTGAGAGGAAGTGGTATTAATCCCTTTCGCCTGTGACATTTAAAATTGGACTAGTCAAAGTACTAGAAAGTCATACAAGATCTAAGGAGACCAGTAAAAGCAGCTAATATTTTTTTCCATTTCTAAATTCTGACTCATCCTAAGCATGCAAATTTCAACATATAGCTTGACAGGCCCTCCACCAACTCTCTTTCTGAGGAAGGTGCTTTGCTCAGTAGTGTTTTGTATTAAAGGAAATACAGATTAATTATCCTATTTTTGAAACCACCACCACAGCTGGTGAAGCACTGGAGAATGAAGCAAAACTTTTAGAAGTCCTTGTGAAAGCCTGAAATCTTAAAACTTAAGTAAGGCACAACATCTCTTCAGTAGTAGAACTACCATGCATTACCTGGAATTGTGTGCAAAGCTTTCCTACACGCCAATGTTAATTGTCAAGGTTATACAGAATGTGAACACATACATGCCCACAGGGAATAGCAGGTAACATACACACAATGTGTCTTATGAAAATTTACTCTTGCTGGTAGAAAAATTAGTTGAAGCAGGCCAAAGCTCACAAAATGAAGAATGAGATAAGATGTTGAGTGATTTCATCCGGTTAAAGAAAAACCAGGAAACAACACTGTTCCAATGCCTATATTTTCATTAATCCAAAAGCATTTAAGTAAAGTATTCTAATGCCTGGGCTGAAACCAAATTCTTTTCTCAAATCCAAATGGGAGTTTAGCACTCAGGGCTCATTTGGAAAGGTAACGTGTGTATTTTTCAGATCATTTTATGTCTACAAAATCTGGAATTGAAATGTGATCTCAGTTAGCTCACCATTTTACTAAATCCAACATCTTTATGTACAGAGATTAAAAAAAATACACCCCTTCCTTGAAGTTTCTAGTGCTCTACTGATACCTACAATTACAACAGTGATCTTATATATCAATTACATGTTTCATCATTATTTGCAAAATCCTAGAACACTCTTAAGTAATAGGCAAAGAAACATGAAAGGCTGGGGCAAGCCAAGAAATATTTAAATATGCTAATACCAGGTTGCTAAACATCCAAGGTCTGAATATTCTTGAAGGAAAATGGTTTAATCTGTTGAATTGCCTTGTGGAATGTTGTTGGCTACCCATAAGGAAAGCCAAATTTTACGTACACAGATTTACAACATAATCTGCATCAGAAAAGACCTCTGTCTAATGGATCATCTAGACCACACCATGCAGCATGACAGGATAATTTTACTATTCTTAAACCAAATCTGAGAGAGATCAGTCGATTCTAATCTTCATTAGCTTCAGTCAAAGTGGTTCAACAGCGTCCCATGCATTTTTTTCCATTTCTTAACTATTCTAGGAGGGTGGTGAAGCACTGGAATGGGTTACCTAGGGAAGTGGTGGAATCTCCATCCTTAGAGGTTTTTATGGCCCAGCTTGACAAAGCCCTGGCTGGGATGATTTAGTTGGGACTGGTTCTGCTTTGAGCTGGGGGTTGGACTAGATGACCTTCTGAGGTCTCTTCCAACCCTAATCTTCTGTGATTCAGTTAAACATTTTGTTAATATTCAACCAAAATTCTCTGCTGCACTCTTAAGCCTTTACCTTTGTGGTTTGTATTCCTTGCCTAATCTGCATCCTTGTTTTATGTGGCTATAGGCCACCCTGTCTACTTTCAGCCTTCTCTCTCTAGAGAAGATGCCCAACTCAAGCTTTTCTCACAGATCTTAGTTTAAAATATTTTAAATAATTTTATTGCTCTTTTCTGCACTATTTCAAATTCGTCCATTTTAAAATTCTGTGCTCAAAACCTAATGTCTCTCACACGGGGATATTTGGTACCAAGAAAGTGGTTGACAACTAGTTGGAAGATTCCTCCCAGCTGTGGATGAAGTAGTTTTGCAATCTCTGGATTGCTGGATGCACTGAACAAAGTATTACAGTACTGACTCATACAATTTGTCATACTAAATTATTTTACCAATAGCTCCCTTTCATCCTAAAGCACTTTATAGAACCCCCAAACCATTCAGTATGATCTGCATCCCTCTAGTTCAGCGGTTCTCAAACTGAGTCGTGAATTTTAATGGTGCCACCAGGGCTGGCGTTAGACTTGCTGGGGCCTGGGGCCGAAGCAGAAGCCCGAGCCCCACTGCCCAGGGCTGAGGTTACAGACCCCCTGCCTGGGGCTGAAGCCCTTGGGTTTCTCCTTTGGCTCCCTGCCCTGGGTTGCGTGGCTCAGGCTGTCTCAGGCTTTGGTCCCCTCTCCGGGGGACCAGAAGGCATTGTCAGAAAGGGATCGTGGTGCAGTGAACTATGAGAACCCCTGCTCTAGTTTGCACCTGTTTGTTTGATCCTTCCCTCTCATACAGCACTTACATTTGTCCTTGCTTAATTCATCTTAAAGATTTCAGAGAGTTTCCCTATTTTAGCAATAATAGTCTACACTATGGAGAATATCACTGATGGGAGAGTGGCTATACAGCAATTAGAAGCATGATCCAATTTAGAGTTCTTACCTCCCCATGTACCTCCTACTTGTGGCCCAGTGGATATAGGATGTACAGATGGATGAAAGGTTGGCTGCAAATCAAGTAGATCATTTGGCAGATTTGATGTGCTACAGAGACAAATTAGGACAACTGTTTGAACTGTATCAAATAGTTTTCAATACAAGGCAGCATTTTCAACTATTATGAACAGATTCACTAAACATTAAGGGGACATAACTATAGCAGTTTGTTTTTAATTTCATGGGGAATATTTTTGGATTGTAAGCATAGCAAGGTCAATTCTCTGCCATGCTAAAGCCCCTCTGTGCCAATCCATCAGCACATAGCAACCATAAGCCTGGTGGGTATAGCCTACTGATTTCTCACACTCTCCTCAGACCCTGATGTCCAAGTAGTGGCCAGAGCATGTCTGCACTTCAATGATGCCCAGCTCACAAAAGTGACCTCACAGGGGCTACTGGTAGCAAGTGGCAGCTCTAAACTGTGCCATGAAATCCAACTTTGACATAGAACTTGTCCCAGACTGGAACTACAAATGGCTCCTCTGTGACCACTGCTCAGCTACACCATCATTTATTGAGTACAGCTGAGAATTTGGCTCAATGACTATAATGCTGATAAACTTTTTTAAAGCTTTTGAAGTTTTTTAAACACTGGCCAGAGCTGTACTGTCATCAGTGATACTGATGCATAAAAAAGGGTAAATTTAATTACCTCTCCATTGGAAACAGATTCAAACCCCAAGAAGTGTCAAGCCACAAAACTCATTGAGGGGAAGAGGAAATATTTCCTTGGTTAATACATGGAAATGGGGAGAAGGGCACACAAGTCATTATAGCAATTGTATTTAAGATGTCAAGTATCTTTCAAACAATGGAAAGGAAAAAACATTTTAATGAGCCCTCTTAAGTTCATAAGATTTTACAGTTATAAAACATTTTTTCAAAACGCTGGAGTAGTGTGTCCATCCAGGTCCTAATCATATTTTTACATATAGTACATCAAGAGTTAAAGTCTCCTTTAATCACAAGCAATATAGGAGACAGAATAATAAATACTTTTAAACCCAGTGCACAAAATCACTTAAATCCAAGTTATGTTGGCAATACTTTTTAAGTGAAAAGGTTAATCTAACTTTTGTACTGGTGCCCATCACTGTAGTATCTGATGACTTCTCAGAATAAGTAGATTAGGACAGCAGGAGTCCTTAATTGAAATTCAGGGAAGCTTCTGCTCTAATCCAAATTCTACTCTCAGAATTCTACCTGGGGTAATTTTTTGAAGTGAGAGAGAGAAGAGGAATTCTATTCTTTCTATCTAAAGATTATGGGAGAAAAGTGACAAATATAGACAATGCATAACATCTAGTAAACCACAGAAATAAATTCCTTTCTATGCTCTTTTGCCTGGATTTCAGTTAAAGTAATATGCATTAAGTATGTGATGAGTCGGAAGAAGAGATTCTTTACCTGCACACTAATTTGAGTTTTGAGATGCTTTGTCCCTGTGGGTGTTCCATCGTAGGATGCGTGTGCACCAGTGTGCTCTCAACTGGAGATTGCAAAGGAGCGCCCATGGGACTGTGCAGAGCAGTTCCTCATGCTCCCATATGAAGTCAAATAGGGAAGTGCGGACCCCGCCACCACTCAGTTCTTTCTCAAGCCCAAAGCAAGAGGGCAAAAGGTGGAGTCCATAGGGACAAAATAGCTCAAAGAACTCAAGTCACTCTCCCTTGAGTTTATGTCTCTATGGGCGCTCCATTGTAGGAGACCCCCCAATAGTACCTTAATGTGGAGGTGGGCGCTAAGGATGCAAGCACAAAACAGTTCAGAGGACTGCATCATCAACTGTTGTTTCAGTTCTAGAAGCAGGTAAGACAGCATAATGCTTGGGAAACATAAGGATGGAGGACCAAGTTGCAGACCTGCAAATATCTGCTACGGAGAGCTTTTCGAAAGGGCTGTAGACATGGACTATGTGCTAGTGAAGTGTGCTGTCACTCAGAGTTGTATTCCAGCAGTCTCATAGCATGTTAAGATGCAACTTGAGACTCACTTCACGCAGTCTGTGTGAAAATTGGTTGTCCCTTCATCCTCTCCGCAAAAGATAGAGATAGTCTGGGAGAGCCACTGAAAGTCTTAGACCTGTAAAGGTGGAAGGCGAGATGTCCTCCTGACATCTAGTTAGTGTATATAGGCTAGTTTCCTCCCGGAAGCATGAGGCATTGGATAGAATACTGGTAGATGGGTTTCCTGATTAATATGGTATTCCAAAGAGACCTTAGGGAGAAAACCAGGATGGAGATGTAGGGTAACTTTACCTCTGCAGAAAGTAGTGAATGGTGGTTCTGTCATGAGAGCACCGATTTCTCCCATTCATCTAGTCTAAGTGATGGTTATAAGGAATGAAGTCTGAGGGAGAGGAGGAGGAGGAGAGAGCAGATAGCCATCGGTTTGAAGGAGGGTTTCCACAGGGCATCAAGAACCAAATTTAGATGCCATTGGGGGGCTGAGTTCCAAACAGGAAGAAATAAGTGTTGAGAGCCCTTAAGGAATCTGGTCATGGGAGGAACTGAGTGGAAGGAAGAGGATTCAAGGTCCCTAAGTTCTATGACAGTAGATCCCTCCTGAGGGGAAGGCGGAGAGGCACTGAAGAGAGGTGAAGGAGGTTCGAGTACCACACCTGTCTTGGCCAGGACTGTGCTATGAGGATAACCCTCACTCCTTCCTATTGCAGTTTGAACAAGATCTGGAGAATTAGAGGTAGAGGCAGGTAAGCATATTGCAGGGTATGGGGCCACGGTGTTCTCAGGGCATATCCCAGCAGTATCCTCCTTTGGAGCAGAAAAGGTGACATTTTGTGTTGATTGGAGTAGCAAATAAGCCTTCTTCTAGGAGACCCCAGGTTTGGCAGATGCTGTGGAAGACAGTTGCTGAGTTCCCTTTCGTGGTCCTGATGGAAGTTCCTGCTCAAGGAATCCGCAATCATATTCTGGAGACCTGCTAGATAGACTGCAAGTGTTTTCCATGTAGTTCAAGTACATGTAGGCAATAATATAACCTTATTGACTGGTAGAGACATCTTTCCTTGGGGGGTGAGGGGGGTGATATTTAAAATATCCACCAGGGAGTGTTGAGAATTCTGACCTCTTCTAACAGGATCTGGAGGGATTCCACCTTGTGTTTCATTAGGTCCTGGAAGGCCCTAAAGTCACCAGCATAAAAGAACAGTGGTGGTATTACCACCATGGAGGAAGAGGACTTGGCTGATGGGGGTGAGGTTTCCTCAATCTGTGACGTCCGTTCATCTTGCGTCTCTCAGTACCAAGGGAGCAGACTGTGCTGGAGGATAGTCTGTCAGACAATGATGTGGTACTGGCAGGTGTTGAGTTTTCTTTTTGGCTGGTACCCTTTAAAACTGCTCATGAAAGTGTCCCCAGGAGTTCCAGTAAGCCCATTGAGCAGGGAAATGTCCTCAAGTGTATTTACAACTGCCAGGTCTAGAATGTCTTATACTGAAAAGTTCTCTTCAGTGTAAGAACTTAGAGGAGTATGCTGGTACAGTATCAAAGAGCCCTGTACCGATACTTCAGAGTCAGAAACAATATCCTCCTCCAGGCTGAAGAGGGGGCTTCTAGCATTGGTGTTAGTACCAAGGGTAGGGGTTCTGATCCTGGTCAGATGAAGAGGGGTTCAGGCTGCAGATGTCAGAGCAGTACCGGGGGGGGGTGAAGGGGACTGACTCTTGTGGAGTTCCTTAAGAGAGGAGACTCCGGTTCCTCCAATATAACAGTCTCCTGGGAAGAGAAATCTAGAATGCTGGAGGACTATGGTAGCCTGATGCAGCTGGTACTGGGGCCTGGAACAGGGATCAGTACCAATCAGGAGATGGCCTCTCGGGTACCATATACAGTGACACCAGTCTGAGTGCTCTCTTTGGCTCTGAGATGAGGATGACATCAGAGTTCATGTAGAAATGCTGTGTGCATCTTGGTGCCTAGATGTGTCAGGAGGTATTGAGGTAGGTACTTTGTGCTACCTGGTAGATATCTGATCCTAGCTACTTAGGCAGTACTGATGCCTTGGTATCAATTTCAGCAAGGTCTCTCGGGAATCAGATTTATGGGGCAACCGACCCCTTTTCTTTGATTGCCTGACAGAAAAAAGAGAAAGAAGCCTCTCTTCCAAGTCTTTATCTGTGGAATGGTTGTTTGGGCTCCTACAGTCACTGGAGTGGCCTGACATGTTGAAGCTGATTTATGGGGGAGAAGGGGAAGCAGACCCACACTGGAGCTAGGGAGCACAACATCAGGAGGAGCTTCAACCTAGCACATCTATCCTTTCAAGACCTGTCTTTGAATACCGTGCAGACCTTGCACTTCGACAGCACATGGGTGTCTCCAAGACACCAGACACAGCTGGAATGCTTATTGCTATGGGGAGAAGACCTGAGACAGCTCTGGACAGGGCTTGATCCCTGGTGTCTTCACAGCATAACCCTGAACATCAGAGTACTAAAGCAAAGGTTCTGCAAAATAAATGTGGCGGGAACCCCCTTTTTAAAGTGCAACTGTGCTGAAATATCAGAGAACAACAAATGAACTAAATAACTAAAACAAAAAAGAAGGGAATAATAAGACATGCACAGCAAGTGAAAGGCAGGAAGCTGTGAAAACAGCAGACACTGAATGTTCTGTTTCAAGCCGCAGGTGGGTGAGAAGGAACTGAGTGATGGCAGGTCCCCACCTCTCTCTAGGCCCTGGTATGGGAGCACGAGGGTGTGGGCCTGCAGACACTGCTTTGCAATTTCTGATCAAGAACACACAGGCACATGAGCGTCCTATGGTGGAGCATCCACAGCAGGGACATATACTCAAAAAAGAATACAGCATTTCTAGATGCTGTTCATCTGGATCTGAAAGCACTGCAACCTGTATTACAGCTTGTATAGAATGATAAAAGTATACTTTAGTGATATAAATGTCCAGATAAACAAAACTTGTAGTTTTCGGATAATATGCTTGTTTTTTGAATTAATCTAACTTCCTATGAACTGGCTCATTTATAGTTACTGCCCAACTTTAATGGGATACCGTAAGTTACATCAGTATGTTCTCTTCAACGCACTCTGAAGTGCAGCATTAGTAGGTCCGGTAGATCAGCAGGAATAGACCTATGTTGCCCACTAAGAGACTCAAAATCTAAGTGCCCAAAGATATGCACCATTCCTATCTGAAGGCAGACATGCCTTTGGCCATAACTGAAGATATTAATTAGAAAATTCTTTAGGATCCTTTGTCAGCCTATCAATACACTGGCGCTGGCTCTGCTGGGATCCACTCTACTACTCTCGCTTAACCAGAAAAAAAGGAAACGAGAGAACATTAAGAAAACAAGGAAAGTAAAATCTGACTCATCAGACTACTACTCAAGGTATGTTCTTGAAATACTTTATCTCAGCAATGAGAGAGAGGGTCAGTAGAATTGTATTTTGTAACATGTATTTTGAAAAAAACTAAAGTAGGCTAGAATAGATTAAAACACTTATGAACTTTTCATCTGCAAATGATGTCTGTCTATAATGTAACTTTTCTGGCTGTTAAAGTAGCTTTGCCAAAGCTTGGGTTTCAGATAACTATTGGTGTGACTAACAAATGTTTTTGGATATCCAACAAATAAAATTACATCTGATCATTTTAAATGCTTTGTCCTTTATCAAGGAAGAAACTCAAATGCCATATACTCTTCTGTTTTTACCCTCATGACTTCCGGTTACTAACACCAACTGCTCATTTCTGTAATTCTGAATGTGTTTTTTGATTCAGATAAATGGTTGGTGTCCTATAAATCATTTCCTATATTTGTCGTCTAGTGGGAAATAAAGCCCACCAGAGTGCAAACAGTTTTTGAAGAACAGCAAAGAGAAGAGAGGAAATGTGCACGTTCCCCTGTGAATTCCACAGCAATGGTTAAACATTCTTTGGGTTCAAATCCTGACCAAGTCCCTGCACAATATGGCACTATTTTGTATGACTAAGGGCATGTCTACACTACAAACTTAAGCTGACCTATGTTAGGTCGACTTACAGCCACCACAGTAATTACTGCAGTGATTCATGTCCACAATACCCTCCTTCTGACAGTTATGCACATCCTCACCAGGAGTGCTTCCACAGACTTCAAAGGGGCGGGGGCGGATCTGAAAGCCCAGGCTCTCAGCTCCATGCACAGCTCCCCAGAGGGAGCACGGCTGCCCCACACCCTTGGTTCTCGGTTCCTTGCCAGGAACCTGGGCAGGAGCCTGGCTGGGAGCAGGGAGCCCAGGCAGTAGTCCAGCAGGGACCCCAGGGGGCTGCCCATTTGGGAGCAGGGAGCCAGAGGCAGCCTGGCTGGGAGCAGGGAACCCGGGCAGCATGTCGGCTGGGAGCCTGGAGCCCCAGGTGAGGGTGGGGTGCAGCTGGGCTCTAGCTGGAGCCCCATGGTGACAGCCCAACTGATCAGCCTTCTTGACAAGAATGACAGCCAACAACCAAAGTAAGTAACCAGCAGTGTCTATATGGACACTGCATCACCCTAAGCCCTACAACTCTTGTGGAGGTGGAGTTATTATATCGATGTAATAGGGCACTTACATCGGCGGGAGCAATGTGGTAGTTTGTACACGGACATAATTAGGTTGACATAAGCTACCTTATGTCCATCTAACTTTGTAGTGTAAACCAGGCCTAATAGTATTTTTATAAACTAAGCCCAGAATGGAACAGCAGGAACCATTGGTATAGGAGACCAGGACAAGCATTAAGTAATTCTCTGTGACAGAATTTGCATAGCTCCTTTACCCTAGTGGCACGCACTCCTTCATTCAAACTCCTGCCCTCAAATTCTCTTCTGAAACACCCACTAACAGTCACCCACATTAGTAACCCATTTCAAAAATACAGATGAGAGATTAATTAAGCACCATCCTCTGGACCCATCAGTGAGAATTTATATCTGAACTTTGCCAATCTATTCAGTAAGGTCCTTGAGGGCAGGGAGTACATGTGCTGAGCATAACTGGCATTTAGATTAACAAGAAGAATCACAAGGGTCATTAAACAGCTTGTTATCAAATTAATCTGAAGAGGGAGGAAAAAGTATTTCTGCGTCATGCTTATATGAATGGGATGTTCTCATTGAAATACCTATCAAAAATCACTTATGGATGGATTCTAGGTAAGAGTAAATTTTTCCAAACACACAATGGCAGTGCAGCTGGATGAATTCAGCTGGAGCTAACTAATAACTGAAACATACCTGTTCGAAGAGCTAGGGATGGAAAAAATATCAATGGCTGGGGTGGTCATTATGCTTCCCGCTGCAGTAGACACGGGAGAGGCTGCTGTCGTTAAAGAGGTATGAGGTTTCTTTGCAAGTTCTTTTAGACGTTGTTCCTGTTGGGAAAGTGAGCTGGCATAAGAAATCCAGAAACAAGGTTTGTTTATATGGCTTCTGAAGAAAGTAAAACAAAACTCTAAAGAATTCTCTTTACTTATTTCATACAATAAGATGGCAGTCAAGTATGAATGTCTATTTCCATACAGAAAGAAAAGCCAGTACATTTGCAGGATTAAAAGATGTTACATGCCTGTTTTAGAAACTGAATAACTGATAATGGGAAAACTCTCCACAACTTTTATGACATATTATAAGAAACTCCAACGAGATGCATTCGCACAGTACGTGTGATTACAAAAGTGACCTTAACTTTTCTGTAAACAGGAAAACACCTACCTTTAAAGCTTTTAAACGAGCTTGCTCTTCCTCTAATGCAGCTTGTTTTTCCCTTTCATCCACTTTGGTGAGAGACAGGCCAGTGCTTGCAAGGGAAGAGACTGCATTGGAAAGTGTGGTAGCCCTGATAATTGAACAGGGGGGAAAAAAACTGGTTGTTCATATGTGTGTCACATGATGGGAACAGCTGATACGAAAATGCTTTGCTTGTTTTTTCTCAGTTCCTTTATAGAATTTGTAATCTTAACCTGTATGACACACAAATCTGAGATTATATATAAAGTGTTACTTTAAAAAAATGAAATTACGTTAATAAATTATTGCAGTGCAAAATTTAAGTGCCTATACTGCAAAATAGGAATGTTTAGAAATGGTGCTATCTACTCTCTTGTACATTGGCTCTGTGATCACTCCCCTTAGATATGCCCCTTCCAAGCGGCCTCATATGAATTCATGTTGTAGATTTTTTCTGTTCTTCTGTTAATTTATGAAAATTCAACTTAAAATGAGAGATTTGTACATTTTATGGAGGAATAGAAAGTTCTGGTAAGTTATCTACTATTTTCAAATACAGTTAAATTAAGCAAGTTATCTGGCTCAATTATGAGACTATGTGCTTGATACAATGCATTACATTCCCAGGCAAAAGAGTTTTCACAGATTCCAAGGCCAAAAAGGACCATTGTGATCATCTAGGGTAACCTCCTGTTTAACACAAGCCATAGAAGTTCCCCAAAATGATTTCTAGAGCATGTTTTAGAAAAACGCCCAATCTTGATTTTAAAATGATCAGTGATAGAGAATCCACCATGACCCTTGGTAAATTGTTCCAATAGCCAATTCCCCTCACCATTAAATATGTGTACCGTATTTCCAGTCTGAATTTGTCTAGCTTCAACTTCCAGCCACTGGACCACGTTTCACCTCTCTGATATACTGAAGAGCCAATTATTAAATATCCATTACCCATGTAGATACTTAAATGCTATAATCAAGTCACCTGTAAACGTTCATTTTGTTAAGCTAAATAGATTGAGCTCTGAGTCTCTCACTATAAGGCAGGTTTTTTAATTCTTTAATCAATCCCGTGGTTCTTTCAAATTTGTGATCACATTTTAAAAACATAATGGGAAAATAAACAGTTAAAAGTAAAACCAGATTTGTCAAACCAGATTTTTTTCTAAGATAGACCAGCAGTTCTCAAGCCATGCATCAGGACCCCAAAGTGGGTCTCGACCCTGTTTTAGGGGCCAACGCCCGAAGGATTCAGCCCTGAGCAGCAGGACTCAGGTTACAGGCCCCTTGGCTGGGGGGCTGATGCCTTTGGGCTTTGGTTTTGACTCCTACCCAGGTCAGTGGGGCTCGGGCTTTGGCTCCCACACCTGGGGCAGTGGGAATCAGACAGAGTCAGGCTTTTGTCCCCCGTCTTGGGGTCGTTTAATAATTTTTGTTGTCAGAAGGGGGTTGCAGTGCAATGAAGTTTGAGAACCCCTGAGAGGAACAAAAAATGTTATTTTAAATACTCCAGTAAAAAATTAACCAGTTAGATTTTATTTTACATTATTGTAATTTTGACAGTACAGGAAGAGGACAAAATCATTGAAAACTAGCACTAGCCTACTAAAATTTAGTTTTAAAAGTTACAGTCTTATATTTTAAGGTCAATATAAACATGTTACATGGAAGTGAAATTTTTAAGTTTGTTTTTCTTAAATTTTAGTAGCAACACAACAAAGAGCAGCTGACTCATGATTTTATCGCCAGGGACATTCCCAAAGAACCTCCAATTTCCTAGACTATTTTGCATTTTAACAAATGTTACAAAAGCAGTGGGGCCATTCATCGACATTGCCGCCACCACTTTTTATGCCATTCAGTGCCTGATCACACTCATGTATTTCGACTCTTTATTTCAGTATTTTTCTGAGAAACAAAAGGACAACTTGAGATATTAAAAGACATAATGAAGAGCATGCATATGTGTTGAGTATTTTACAGAAATACCAACACTGATTTATAAGAACAATCTAATTAATAGTATGGAAAATTAAAGATTTCCAAGCAGCAAGCAAAGGCACCAAAAGTTACAGAGTCTCAAGGTGAAGTCTGAAAGTTCTACCATTATGAAGGCTTCTGCCATTATGTGAATTGTTCTCAGTTCTGTCTACTCTAGTTGCACTACATTTAGGCCTGGTCTACAATACAAAGTTAGGTCGACCTAAGCCTACTTGTGCATTTGTCTACACTTAATTTGTCTCCCACTGATGAAAGTGCCCCATTATGCCAATGTAATTACACAAGCTCCCTGAGCGGCATTAAGCCATGCTTGATGTTCAGAAGTCAACGCAGCGCAGGTGTAGACACTGCATTACTTATGTCAACCCTAGAAGTTCTCCAGCAGCTATCTCACAATGCTAAACACTGACCGCTCTGGCCACAATTGTGAACTCCACTCCAAGGGTCATGTACACCTCCAGCTCCCCCTCAAAACCCTATTAAAACCCCTGTAATTTTTTGAAATGCCTTTTCCTGGTTGCACAGGATGGTGAGCACACCTCTATCTGCTTTCCATTATTGTGCGAAACTGCCTGGCTGACCATGCTGGCTACATACTCCAAATGCACTCCTGCCTAGAGTAGACAGGAGATAATGGATCTCTTGGGCCTGTATGGAGAATAGGCTGTGCAAGCATAGCTCAGAACAAGCTGTAGAAATGCTGACATCAATGAGCAGATTGCTTAGGGGATGAAGGAGAAGGGGTACAAGGACCAGCAGCAGTGCACTAGAAGAGGTAGTGATAGAAGTAGTGGTATAACAAAAAGGCAGGAGTTGCTATCTGCTTTTCATTCCCATCTAGAGTTAGGCAGGGCAGTTTGTTTATGTACACAAGAATGACCCTTGAATCCTCCTGAGAGATGTTGATGAAACTTCCACAGAAGTACACTGCAATCCTCTCTCAAAGCTTTTCTAGGGATGGCAGCCTTATTTCTTCTCCCACGGAAGGACGCTTTCCCTCAGCAATTACTGCAATGGGCCTGCAGAAGTTAACAGGCTACTGGCATAAGAGGATGGAGCTCATCTGATAATCCTTGTGTCTGGCTGTTCAAATTCAGCAAACAGCCAATCCATTCCACCCTCCACCCCTTTGGCAAATTTTCTCCCAGGGCTTCACAGATATTACGCAGGACACAATAGTCAACTATAACCAATGGGATATTTTTCCCACAGATCCAGTCTAATGAGTAAACAATACCAACAACACTTCAATCTATCAAAAGCATATTCAACTATCATTGTGCACCTGCTGAGTCTGCAGTTGAATCTTTCCTTGCTGTTGTCAAGGTGGCTGGTGTATGGCTCCATGAGCCAGGGGAGTTAAGGGGTCAGCTGAGGAGTTAAGAAGGAAAGAAGCAGACGCAGGGAGCCAAGTATGCACGCAGACAAGCAATATAGTAACTGTAGCAGTTGTCTGCTGATGTAACTTGAATTGGCAAAACTTTGTAGTGTAGACATGGCCTGAGACTGGAAAGCTTTATGTTGTTTAACCAACAAATACTATGCTGTCAACAGCACCAAATTCATCAACTGTTTCAGTGCTGCAAGAGCAACATAATGTTCATTTCAACACAACCCATACAGAATATTTCAAAGTAAGGAACCTAACATTTGATTCTTAACACACTGTATAAGAGGACAAAGGCACATATACCTGCTTGCAGCTGTGGAGTCTTTGATTTTCTTTCCTTCTAAAGAGGCTAAATGTTGTTCCAAAGCATCAAGAAGACTGCTTGGTGCCTGCAAAAGGGCAGTGAGGGCATAGATATGAAAAATCCAAGACAAAACCAGGCACCAGCTAAAAAAAATAAAAAAGAAAGGTATGATCCTGTCACCACAGTGCCAGAGAATGCAACTGAGGGTAACCGGACATGGTCTACAGCTCAAAATATTGACACCACAGTATTTTGACACTAAGAACATAACTTGGGCAAAGTATTTTATATTATCAGGTGGTACAATATCATCCACTACCATGCCAGTTCTATTACTCATGATTAGGGCCCTACCAAATTCACAGTCCATTTTGGTCAATTTCATGGTCATAGGATTTTACAATGATAATTTAATGATTTCAGATATTTAAATCTGAAATTGCATGGTGTTGTAACTGTAGGGGTCCTGACCCAAAAGGGGGTAGTGGGGGCACTGCAAGGTTATTGTAAGATGGGGTCACGGTATTGCCACCCTTACTTCTCCGCTGCTGCTGGCAGCAGCACTGCCTTCAGATTTGGGCAGCCAGAGAGCAGCATTTGCTGGCTGGGAGCCCAGCTCTGAAGGCAGCGCCACCGCCAGCAGCAGCATAGAAGGAAAGACGGCATGGTATGGTATTGCCACCCTTACATGCTGCCTGCAGAGCTGGGCCCTCGGCCAGCCGCCGCCAATCTCCAGCCACCCAGCTCTGCGGGCAGCACAGAAGTAAGGGTGGCAGTGCCACAACCCCCCTACTATAACCTTGCAAACCCCGCCCCGTGACCCTCTTTTGGGTTGAGACCCCCAGTTTGAGAAACACTGGTCTCCCCTGTGAAATCTGTATAGTATAGGGTAATAGCACACACAAGATCAGATTTCATGGTGGAGACCAGATTTTATGGTCCGTGACACTTTTTTCACGGCCGTGAATTTGGTGGGGCCCTTCTCATGATGGCGCCTATCAAAAAAGCAATCCATGAAAATGTTGGAAAATAAATACTAAGAAAAGGCATAAAGAAAACAGACAATTGAAATGAGTAGTCTATGTTCCAACTGAGATTAAAAAGGAAGCTGTGCCCATCTGAGGCAATACACACATACACAAACTGAAAGTCTTTACAAGTAACCAACTAATACTTTGAAGCCTTCTGCTTAGAGTAGCCACCTTGCTAAGGGATCTCATTTGTGAAAGCTGTATTACGTAAGCCTCTACTACAAACAGATCAGTTTCCATCATACTTTAAAAATGGTTTCAATCTTAGGAATTTCATGTTTCTTCAAATATTTGATTTTAATTCTCTATTTTCTGCTCTCAAAATGATATTAATTTGACAATTGTAATATATTACAACTGTAATTAGTTTGCATTTTCACACATTAGGATCCTGAAATTTGTGAGTGAAAGACTTTCTGGTTAAGAGTTCAATTTAGTCACGACTCATCTCAGAATTTAAGAATATGGTGATAATGTATGCAAGAAAACCAATACATGACTCCGCATTTTTCTGAACACGCAACCCAAGAAAGAAAGAAACATGTATTCACATATGCATAACAGTTTATGTACCTGAGAAAGATCTGGTATGTCTCCTCTGTCGATTCCAACTTGCTGTAACAAAACAGATTTATGAGCTTTAGAACTAACTAGTGTTTATTTAAAGATTACATTGCTAAAAAGGAGAAACTACGTTAACGTGCTCTCATGCAAGGAACGCAAAAATCCTCTGTACTCTTTTTAGTTTACATAATTTGAGCTCTACATTTTTAGATTAAAACAGATGTAAAAAAAAATCAAAGGAAATCAAAGTAAAATATATGTATACATTAGGCTGTAGTGAGTTTAAAATGTTACCAAACCTAAGTTTGGAGTGCCCTTCCTGAAGGTCCACAGAAGAGATTTTGAGAACCAAGCAGGTGATGGTTTGTGTAGGAAGGGAAATTCATGAAAGCATTTCTCTTATGAAGTAGATTACAGAACGCAAGCATTGAGAACTACTGACACAGTACGTATTTGGAAGTACAAAAATAGTATATTGCATTGATACAGCCTCTTTTATCCTCCAAGTTCCAAATCACTCTACAAGCTATACAACATAGACATCTTAACTGAACAGCAGCCATCCCAGTTGTAAAACATCATATGGGTTTCACAGTGCAGATTGACACTACACAACAGTTTAGAACCATCAAGTGAGGATAAGTACCATATCAGACAAACTGCAGGGAGAATTTTAGATAGGCAGAACGTAATTACCCTTTCTGGAATTTGACCAGGACACTTAGATTAGCACTCTACTGCTCAGACTGAAACCTCGTTAGTTCAACAAAGCTTCAGAAGAATGCATGCTGCTACCACTGAATCAACAAGAAAAACCAAGAAAAAACACATTGCATACAACAGAAGGTTTTCAGATGCTGTAAAACTCCTTGTGAAATCCCCTATCATCAACTTCAGCCATTGCTTTCTCATTTAATGTTGATCCTCAAATTCTTTTATCCCTCAAGTTTGACATAGCAGAATTGATGGTGCCAAACAAAAAAGGGCTAGATATTGTGTCTCAGAAAGAAAAAGACCACCACACACACTTTTCTTCTTCCTAAGTTTACCTTTAAAGAAAACTAAGCACAGCTATATTTTGTGTGTGTATACAAGCTAACACGCAATGTCTCCCCAGACCACAGTAGCCACTAGCCCTTTATACAGTAGGAGATTTATATGTTTATTCTTATATCCTCTTCTCAGCAAAGAAAAGCTACTTCTCAGCAAAGAACTGTTAAAAAATTTCTTTCTTTCAATATGCAGGCCCTTATTGAGCTTGTCCCCTTGTTATTAAACTCTGATAAAATGCTCCTTGATGGACATTAAATCTGCCAAATGGAAAGGAAACGTAGCTGCTTTATCAGAGTTAAGTATTTTATAAACCGTTTGAGCATGAGGGCAATTTTGGCATAGTGAGGTTTACCTCTGCAACTTTGAGGAACTCTGAGATCCTTGTCATTCTAGTGAGAAACTTCTTATATATGTCAAGGCCTTCTTTGCACTGGTTTTTTTTCATGTCAAAGTATTTTTCTGAAAATGGGAAAGTATTCAAAAGTCACATAAGAAATAAATATACTGTATATATTTTAAACAGAGAGCATGTACAAGTAACTATAATGCAAGACAAGTTACTTCACTCATCACTATAAAAAAAGTATCTGCAGCCTTGTTTCTTCACTTTTCCACGTTAACGGTGGAGGCCACTATGATACTGCATGAGAGATGGAAAAGCAGGCAAGATTAATATTGGAGTCAATGCTTATGCTGGCCAAGATAAGGACACAAATTAATGATTTTTGTACATTTTCCCTTCTCCAGCACTTGATGTATTTGGTTCAGTCTCCATGTTTAACATGGTCAGAGATTTTAGTGTATATATCTATATCTGGAAATCAAGTAAGGAAACCCCAATGCCAAGCCACAAGGTTATCTGACAAACAAAGAGTTGGTCAAATAGGTGGAGTTACTAGTAGGCTGTTTACAGAGGTAGCTGTAACAATGATCACAAATTAACTTCCTCCCACCAGTTAAAAAATACCAAAGTGGGTGTGACTGAATTGAAGCTGCTCTGTAATTTCTGAATACTGTATGTTGACCTGGTTATTGGGGATTTTTTTTCTCCGCAAACACTTGTGGGTTGCTAGGGACAATGCTTGAACTGTTAGCTTTGAAGATTTTACCTACTTCCTAGCCAACTTGAGAAACCAGTTTTGTACCAGAAAGGCCAAAGCCCAGGAACACAGAAGAAAAGAAAAAAAAACATGCCCATTTAAAAAGGCTTGTTCCCTCAAGAGAAAACAGAGTTTGGGGGAGCCAGAATGAGCCAAACATGCTGGGGTGCCTGAAGAAGTTCGAAAGAACAGGAGTACTTGTGGCACCTTAGAGACTAACAAATTTATTTAAGCATAAGCTTTCGTGGGCTACAGCCCACTTCTTCGGATGCATAGAATGGAACACACGGAAAGAAGATATTTATACATACAGAGAACATGAAAAGGTGGACGTAGCCATAAGAAGTTAGGTATGCCTAGTTTACTACCAGGAATAAGCTGCTAAAATAAGTCATTCCTTTTAACTTAAATTTTAATATTACTTACAGGTTTAAGTTTCTCTGCCCCTCCAGCGTTGTGGCACATTAAAAGATATAAGTAATTCAGCCTTTAAGGCATACTCTGTGTGTAGGGCCCTACCAAATTCACGGTCCATTATGGTCAATTTCATGGTGATAGGGTTTTAAAAATCATAAGTTTCATGGTTTCAGCTATTTAAATCTGAAATTTCACGGTGTTGTAATTGTAGGGATCCTGACCCAAAAAGGAGTTGTATGGTGGTTGCAAGGTTTTGTTGTTTTTTTTGGGTGGGGGAAGGGTGTTTGCGGTACTGCCAGCACCGCAGAAGTGGGGGTATCTTCAGAGCTGGGCAGCTGGAGAGCGGTGGCTGCTGGCTGGGAGCCCAACTCTGAAGTCAGAGCCACCACCAGCAGCAGTGCAGAAGTAAGGATGGCATGGTATGGTATTGCGACTCTTACTTTTGTGCTGCTGCTAGCAGGGTGCTACCTTCAGAGCTAGGTTCCTGGCCAGCAGCTACTGCTCTCTGGCCACCCAGCTCTGGAGACAGTGCAGCGCAGAAGTAATGGTGGCAATACCGTGACCCCCCTGCAACTCCCTTTCAGGTCAGAACCCCCAATTTGAGAAACGCTGGTCTCCCTCATGAAATCTGTATAGTATAGGGTAAAAGCACACAAAAAACCAGATTTCACGGGGGAGACCAGATTTCATGGCCTGTGATGCATTTTTCATGGCCGTGAATTTGGTAGGGCCCTATCTATGTGATAGATCATGCTATCGTTTAGAGCAGGTACTCATTTCACAGGGATAAGCAACAACATAAAAACCTTCATAGCCAGCCAAATAGAATACATACAAAAAATTATAAACACTGTTAGAATTAAGTTTTAACTATGGAAGTTAAACTCTCTATGTTTCTTTAACAATTCAGAGTGGAGAAAAAACTGTCAATTTTGCTATTTGATTTTGAGTCGAGGTTTTCAGTGACAGGCGGAAAACTAGTTCAAGGAAAATAAATTTTCCATGCCAAAAATTCTTGGACTTTGTTTTTAGGAAATTGCATACTTTGGATTACATGTAAGGAAAGTACTAACAAAGCAAAAGAATCCTTGGCAATAAAGCTGTCCCAAAAAACTGAAGATTTTCTTAAAACATTCTATCTTCATGTACTGCTTTGTCTTATTCCTTAAAGATCCAAACAGCTATAAATTCTGAAAAAAATTATATATCCTTGCTTATTGAAAACACAAAGAACTAATTCTGCAGAGTAGAGTAATATTTACCCAGAAGGTTAATAATTCCTTCATTATATGCTGCAAAGAGTCTAATGGCATCTTTGAAGAGGAGCATGAAGGCAGCATTTATTACACCATTTGTAAGCTCGTTGCTATTGACCTAGGGAGATTAGAAAAGAAAATTAGCTCATCTGGATTGACATTTTATCAGAAAACTTCCAATTAATAATTAAGTTTCAATATTCTAACCCGAAGACCTGCTTTCCATTAGCAAATGGACTGTTTATAGAACATGGCAGCATTCCAAGTTAAATGGAACCTCTATCAGCATCAAAGATGACAAGTTAAATAATCAAAGAAAAGCAGGTCGGCAAAAATACATGACTAATATATCACAGATTAAGAGGGGCCAAAAGAATAATTAGAATAAGTTTTGTTTATTTAAAAAACTTCTTAAAGGCATGTACTCCTAAATGAACATTAATGAAGTGGTCATCTTATTGGGACATCAGTACTTCAAATTAAGTGTACCAGCTACAAGGCAATGTTCCAGGTGTATTTTGCTCCTCAAATTAACTATATTAGATTGGACACAACATGTTAAAAATATGGAAGGGAATTTTACTTTGTACATATTGCATCACTTGTTTTCATAGCTTGTGAAAAGCTGTGGAGGAAAAGTCCAGCTGTGTTAATTGACAGTGTCTCTGATGTGTGCAGAAATTAAACTTACATTGAAGTCAAGAAGTGCATCCATCTGATTTTGTATAATTGGTACAGTTTTAAGGAGTTTTTCTGTGTTCATTGTTCTCATGACTCCATCAGCCCTATTATGCAAACAAAACAGAAAACAAACCACCAATTGGATTATGAAAGAATATTTTATTAGTTAATATGAAACACTGGAGCATATGAAACAGATCAAAAGAACAGCAATGCCAGAGGCAGCATATTCAGACGACTGAAGTAAGAGGCACGCCTTGTGATACTCAAGTTGTCTGGCCAAAAGAATGGCAATGATTGTCCAGAAGAGCCACATCCAACTCTCCTTGGCCAGAAGACAGCACCTGTGACAGGGTCTTCAAGGACTGATCTTTGTTCTCTGAGACCAACAGAAATGGCCATGCTCAAAACTATTACACTACCTCACCCATCTTCTCTCTCTAAGATCTTTTAAAAGCATTCGTAAAATATAGGATTATAAATACACTGTATGTGGATTTTTTTTTTTTAAAGAGAATGTCAGTTATCTGGGTCTATTTAACTTTCATTTGGTTGATGTTTTAAACTAGATACCCAGAGAAGACAAATGCTAAGAGAAAAAGAAGGTGCCCTAGGAGCAAATGAACAATAAACAAGAATTATTGATAGTAAACATTTGCTTTCTACACTACACGGACTTAAAAATAACATTCACTTTATGTAAAAAGGCTTGATACCAAAGTCAAAACTTATACCTCTTATAACCTCTTGCTTGTTCAAACTAAAAATCAGAATCCACTGGACTCTGGAGCACAAAAGGCTGAGGATTATTACAGCTGGAAAAAGCCAAAAATGTCAAGGAACGAACACCATCAATAACATCCTCCTGTTAACAGAATTCCTTACAATTAAAAATAGTCCTCTTGCCTGTTGGTCAGGTGGTGAAAGAATGGTTAATTACCCTACATTAGATGAGCTTCTTCAAGAGGGGTGTCCACATGGATCACACTCTTGGTGCATGTGTGCCCCAGGCGGACAGATTGGTTTCTTTTCGCTAGTAGTGTGTGTTGGGGCCACAGTTGCACCCTAGCTATTCTTGCCCACCCCAAACACCCCAAGGGCATAAAAGACAGATCAGGACCAATTGTCCCTCAGTTCCTTCACCAATACAGAATCTCAGAGGCGTATGACTTTGCAGTAATGGGGAAGGAGAGCAGGTCATGGAGTCCATGTAGACAACATCTCTAAGAACCACAGTTGCTGCAAGTAACCATTCTCTCCAAGTAATGGTCTATAGGGATTCCACCTTAATACCATTAGATAGAGTGCATGAAGTTTAACATTCCCGGGACTAGTGTATAGTCCAGTGTAGCTGAATGGGTGCTGAGAGAAGACCGCTGGTGACAAGATGCCCAAATAGAAAGCCTCTTTCATTTATGAGGCTAATTCAGTCTAGTTGAGGCTTTCCTTTTCAGATCAACAGATTCTTTTGGGGGATGTCACTCAGCCATGATCTAGGCTGTCAGATAACAACAACAATGGGTCCAGCTGTAGAATTTGATGGCTCTGCAAGGCTCTTCTCAAATGAGATGCGTAGTTAAACACCAATGGTGCCAAACACAAGACAGCTTTCTGGCATATCAAAGAACACCTTATTGGCCAGATTAGGTAGCTACCACCGGTTGCCTCAATCCGACGCACAGTCTGATTTCCATTTCATTTTTTTTTCCCCAAAAGACAGTGTTCCCCAAAATTTCTGAAGACAGACACATTACAACTCAACTGCACTGACATTTTTGGTGCATAATGCACAGAGTATATTGATTAATACCAGTGAAAAGATATTCAACTTGGTTATTTGAGAACAGCTTGTTAGTATGTACTGCAAGCCAGATCTTAAAGAGAAGAAAAATAAAAACTACAGTTCTTACCCTCTTTTTACTTTGGTGAAGTCAAAAGCCACTTGTCTGTAAGAAACTGCTTTTTCATTCAGATACCTACTATACCGTCTGATAAATGTGGACATGTCATACCCTAAAAGAGAAAAGGTTTCAACAGCTTATCGCTCCTCCAGTCAATTTTTATACAAAGCCAATTATTCTGACTAGGCAATAAGATATACACTTATAGCTTGTTTTTGTTTACAAGTTTTCCCTTAATCCACCAATATATAAAAACGGTTACAAAAGACTGGTCTCAATTTTTTTGACACACATAAAAATATTGTGGTAAGAGCTATACCAACGGTAGGCAACCTATGACACACATGCCGAAGGCGGCACGCGAGCTGATTTTCAGTGGCACTCACACTGCCCAGGTCCTGGCCACTGGTCCGGGGGGGGGGGGGGG